TGGAGACAGGACACATCCCTGATATACTGTTTTTCTGATTTTGAATCATGCAATGATTCCTTTCCTCTGTTCTAATAACAGCTGCCTGGTCCAAGTATAGGTTTCGCACGAGCACAATCAAGTGTTCTGGGATTCCCATTCTTCTCAGAGTCAGCCACAATTTATTGTGATCCTCACAGTCAATTGCCTTTGCATAATCAATGAAACACAGTCATTGTTCTTTGCTTTCAGCCAAGATCCATCTATCATAGGAAATGATGTCCCTAGTCCCATGGCTTCTTCTAAACCTACCTTTTATTTCTGGTAGTTCTCTGTTGATGTACTGTTTCAGTCACTTTTGAATAATCTTCAGCAGGATTTTGCTTGGGCGTGATATTAGTGATTTCTTTGATAATTTCCACACTCTGCTGGGTCACCTATTTTTGGAATGGAATAAATATAGATCTCTTCCACTCAGTTGTTCAGGCAGTTGTCCTCCAGTTTTCTTGGCATAGCCTACGGAGCACTTCCAGAGCTCCATCTGTTTGCTGAAATATGTCAATTGGTATTCCACAAATTCTTGGGGCCTTGTTTTCTGCTCCTTCAGAGCAGCTTGAACTTCCTCCTTCATCACCGTTGCCTCTTGAACCTAAGTTGTTTCATGAAATTCTTCTGCATCAGTCAGTTCTTTTTGGTACAGGGACTCTCTCTTCTTTTGATGCTTCCTGGATCATTCATTATTCTGCCCAAAGCATCCTTAAGTATTGAACTCAAGGCTTGAGTTTGTTCTTTAATTCCTTCAGCTTAAGAAATGAGCGAGTTCGACCTCTTTTGATTTTCTCATTCTAGCTCTTTGCACATTTCATTATAATATTTTGCTCTGTCTTCTTGTGCTGTCCTTTAAAATCTGTTCAGCTCCTTAACTTCTTGGTTTCTTCCCTTGGCTTTGGTTTCTTGGTGCTCTAGTGCAATATTCAGAGTCTCTTCCAACATTCATTTTCAGTCTTCCTCCTCTGTCTTTGTAATGATCTTTTACATTTTTCAAGGATAATATTCTTTATATCCTCCCACAGCTCATCTGACCTTTGCTCATTAGTGTTTAAGGTCTCAAATCTGTTCCTGAGAAGGTTTATTTAATTCAGGTGGGATAGATGTAAAGGCAAGTTTTGGTTCTTGTGGAATTGATTTTTCTTTAGCTTCAGTTTGAACTTGGGTATGATGGTCTGTTCACAACCAGCACCTGGCCTACTTTTCACAATTTATATTGAGCTTCTCCAGGGATTCTTTCACAGATGTTGTCAATCTGATTTCTGTGAGGACCATCAGGTAAGGTCCATGTATATAGTCATTATGTTTCTTATTAGATATTTGCAATGAATGAATCATTGACTGTACACAATTCTATAATTTTATCTCCAGCCTCATTTCTGTCACCAAGCCTGTTTTTCAACTACTGATCCTTCTTCTCCATATTGTTGTTGTTATGTGCCATCAAGTTGCCTGCAAATCATAGCGACGCTATGTACAACAGCCCTAAACCCTGTTCTATCCCTTGCCAATCTTATTGTCTCCAATACACCTATCACCATTACCCCAGTGACTGAATCAATCTATCTCATAGAGGGTCTTCCTCTCCTGCACTGTCCCTCCACCCTCCCAAGCATGATGTCCCTCTCCAAGGACTGATCCCACCTTGCAACATGTCCAAAGTATGTCAGATGAAGCTTCAGAATCCTTGCCTCCAAGGAGTAGCCTGTTTTCACCCTCTCTAGGACAAACTTATTTGTTCTCCTAGCAGTCCATGGTATATTCAATAATCTCCAGCACCACAGCTCAAAAGCATCTACTCTCCTTCTATCATCCCTAGTCATTGTCCAGCTCTCTGATGAATAGCAAGTATTTGCAACGATCATAGCTAGTACCAGATGCACCTTAGTCTCCAGACTAAGCATTGTTGCTCTTTAGTACTTTGGAGAGGTCTTTGACAGCAGACTGTTCCAATAGAATTAATCTTTTAATTTTCTGGCTGCTGGTACCAAGAGTGTTGATTGTAGAGCCAAACATACTGAAGCTGTCAACAATCTCAATCTCTTCATCATCCATCATGATGCTGCCAATTGGCCCAGTGCGGAGGATATTTGTCTTCTTGATATTGAGCTTCAATCCATATTGAAGACTGCAGTCCCTGACCTTCTGCAACAAATGCTTCAGGTCCTCCTCACTTTCAGCAAGCAGGGTTGTGTGCGGCTACTTTTATTATTCCTGCATTATTATGACAGTTACAATATTTCACATTTAAGATGTTTTGGTGGATTCGGAAATGTTTCTTAAATGCTTTATGTTGTTTTTAAGTACCATAGAATCAGAACCAACCCACAGCTGACCTTCTGATGGGTTTTCAGAGGCAGTTAATTGCACGGGAGGAGATTGTCCATCCTTCTCCTACAGAGCAGCTGGTGTCCTTGAACTGCATGCCTTAGGGATTGCAGTGCAGCTTCTTGCCACTAGACCATATGTCTTAAAAATCCTGTCAAGTCAGTTCTGACTCAGAATTAGTCTCCATCGGCTGGAAGTCTTTGGCCCATCTTTCTCCCATGGATTTGAGTTGTAGACCTTTTGGTTAGCCATGAGACACGTTACCGATTATGCTCCCAGGGCGCCTGGTTTTATACGACTAAAAAAGTAAAATGCATGCTATATATGAAGACATTAGAATGCTACTGTTAAGTGTCACTCAGTGGAGTGCAACTATCCCGTGCCATCCTTATCATGCCAACACACTTGTGCCCACTGCCAAAGATATTGTATCAATTAATCTTAAGGGTCTTCCTCTCTTTCACAGTCCCCCTACCTTACCAAGCATGACGCCTTTCTTCAAGGAATAGCCTCTTCTAATAACAAGTCCTGAACATGTGAGATGAAGCTTCGTCATCCTTGCCTCTAAGGAGTACTCTGGTTGCATCTTCTCCAAGACATGTCCCTTTGTCTTTCTATAGGATATTCAGTCCATGGGATATTCAGCATTCTTCCTCAGCACCTGAACTCAAAGGCTTTGATTCTTCTCCTGTCAACCTTATTCATTGTCCAGTTCTCAGATGCATAGGAGGTGAATGGAAAGACTATGGCTTGGATGAGGCACACCTTAGTCTTTAAACTGACATCATTGCTCTTCAGAACTTTGGAGAGGTCTCTGATAGCAGACTTTCCCTACGCAATATATCTCCAGATCTGACTGCTGGTTCCAAGGGTGTGGATAGTGGATGCAAACAAGATTATATACTTGACAATGTCAATCTTTTTTCTTCATTTAATATGATATTGCTTATTGGCCCAGTGATGAAGATTGTTTGTTTTTTGATGTTGAGATATAATCTATATTAAAGACTTCAGTCCTTGATCCTCTGCAGTAAGTGCCAAAGGTCCTCCTCACTTTTAGCAAGCAAGGTTGTGTCACAATACAGGTTGGAGATGCCATGTTCTTCTTCATAAAGTCAAGCTGATGCCCTATTCTCCTTCACAAAGTCCAGCTTCTCAAATGATTTGCTCAGCATATAGACTAAATAGGTATAGAGAAAGGATACAGCCCTGACACACACACCTTTCTCAATTTTAAACCATGCAATGTTCCCTTGCTCTGTTCAGACAACAGCTTCTTGGTCTTAGTATAGGTTTCATATGAGCATAATTAAATGTCCTAGAATTCCCAGGCTTCTCAAGGTTAGCCATTGTTTGTTATGATCCGCACAGTTGAAAAGCTCTGGTATAATCAATAAAACACAAATAGACATTCTTCTGGTTTCATCCAAGATCCAGCTCACATCAGCAATAATATCCCTGGTGCCACAGCCTGTTCTAAACCCTGCTTGACCTTCTGTCAATACACTATTCTAGCCATTTTTGAATGATCGTCAGCAGTGTATTTCTTGCATGTGATATTATTGGATATTTCCACATTCCGTTGGATTATCTTTCTTGGGAATAGACAAAACAGGGACTTCTTTCTGTCAGTTGGCCAGGTTGTTGTCTTTCAAATTTCCTTGCACAGATTAGTGAGCACGACTAGGGCTGCATCTGTTAGTTGTAACATGTCAATTGTATCCCATGATTCTTGGGGCCTTATTTGGTTTTTTTGCCAATGCTTTGAGTGCAGCTTGAATTTCTTCCCTCATCACCAGTGGATCTTTGTCATATGCTACTCCCTGAAATTTTTCAGTGTTGACTAAGTCTGCCTGTGTGTGTGTGTGTGTGTGTGTTTACAAACTCTTTTTTTTTTAAAGTGACTTCATGTATTCCTTCTTTTGATGCTTCTTGAATGAGGATTTTGATGTTCTCATGTCCCTGCCCTCTGAATGCTTCCTGGATGCTTCAAGACTTTCCCCATAGCATCTCTCAGTATTGCAGCTCAACTAATGATACTAAATCAGACTCGTGTGCACCGTTCTGACTTACTTACAAATTCAACTTAAACACTTAGGAGTGGATTTTAATTACTCCTAGTTTGGGGTATAAACAAGGCTGGAAGAGCTTGGGGTGAGACAGCCAGGGTTATGACTGATCACAGCCAGGCACCTGGCAGCCCATGGACGCCTGCCTCGCTACTGAGGACCATAGGGGCACCCAGCCAGCATGGGCAGGGCAACCTTCTTCTTCCTTTAGGAGATTCCTATATAACCCTTCTGTGGGCTTTCTGCAAGCTCATGGCTCGTGGCAGCAGGGATAGACGGCTGAGTGACACTGGGATGGGGTGAGAGCAGGATGTGGGGCAGCAGGTGGGCATGGGGAGTGAGGAAGGGTGTGCAAACTTGAGAATGGGCAAGGAAACTCCTCCAACAGAAACCCAAACCCCTGTCTCCTAACCTGGGCCAGCTTACTCAGCCAAAGGTGGGAGTGGGGTCCAGAGCCTTCCACAGCTCCCATGCCCAGTGTCCCTCCCCACAGCCTGGAGCCAGCCTCCCCCTCAGCTCCCACCATTCCTCCCCACAGACACCGACCCAGCCTGGTCGAGGAGAAGATGCTCCTACCTTCAAGTTTAATAACAGGCTCTGGAGCAGAGCATCATAGCCGCGGGCCTTGAGCTCGTCCAGGGGGTGTAGCACGTGGCTGTGGGTGTCCTGTAGGCTCTGCCACCTCTGCACCATGGACGTCCTGGCAGGCGGAGCAGGAAGGTCACACAAGCCCACACCCAGGGACCCGGCCAGCCCTGGATGAATCTTCCTAAACCATGCCCTGCCCTCTAGAACTTTCCATGGTTCCCACCCTGTGAGCTCAAGTCCAGGCCCTCTCATCTCTAACCCAGGGCAGTGACCACCCTACCACCTGGCATTCACCTACGGGGCCTTGACTGCTCCCTGCCCCAGTCTGCTAACATCATTAACTGCTTAACTTGTAAGATAGGGAGTTCAGAGGAGAACCCTGCCCAGCCCTTGACAAGCCCACCTGCCCCAACCTCACTCCTGTTCTCCAGTCTCTGCCCCTACCCTGAACGCCCACCTCCCTGAGACCCTCTCTCTCCTCCATCCTGCCCTTCTGGGTCCATCCCCAGCCTCACCGGAAGAACAGGCAGTTGTTGATGTTGGCGATGACATTGGCCCTGTAGTTTCTCTTCTTTTCACCGTTCTCCAGAAATTTCATAAAGGCACTTAGGTAGCTGAGAAAACGAGCAGAAACCCACCCACTAAGGACCAAATGAGAATGACCTGTGTCAGGGTCCCCCAGCCTCCCTCGGGTCACAGCCCTTCCCTTTTAGCTTCCATTTTCCGGTATCGGCTCCCCTCAGGGCAGAGCTGGGCACCCTTGGGTCCTGAAGAGGGACCGCTCAGATCCACTGCCCCGCTGGTCTATTGCAGAAGACCACTGCAATATGGGCAGGGGGTGCTGGCTCAGGCATCCTAGAGGCCACAGCGTCCGGGGAACCAGAAAGGAGCAGGGACACAGGGGTGGGACACCATCTTGGCAGCGAGAGGCAGTGCTTCAGGGAGAATGATTGGGCAGTGGGGGTGAAGGGGAGCTCCCTTGGAGGTGGACATGGTCAGGAAGAGGTGGGGGTGGGGGTGAGGACTCTGGCCACTATGAGTACAGGGGGCAGGACTCCCACCTGGGCCACAAAGACCCCGTGTGTGCCACACGCAAGGCCACTCACCTCCTGAGGAAGGCAGCCAGCTCTGTCAGTAACGGCCGTGTCATCTGCTCACCAAGGTCTGCAGTGATTTCCTCCGCCATGTCCAGGCTCTGGGAGATGATCTGTGGGGACAATGGGCGAGCTGGACAGGGCAGGACTAAGGTGGGTTAGGTGGTGTGCAGGGGTGATGCTGGGAGGGGCTGCTCCACTGGAGGCTCCCTCCGGGCCCCAGTGTGGGCTGTGTCTGTACCCCGTGCACCCCCGTATAGACTGGTACCTGCATGACGTCAATGGTGAGCTCATTGTGATAGTGGCCGTCCAGCTGCTGGGGCTGCACGTCATCATCCCAGTGCTGCAGCTCCTCCTTGAGGGCCTTGGCCATCAGCTCCTTCGCACTGGCCTGGAACGGGTGACAGCCCATCAGGGGGATAGGCTCCTTTCACAGTCACTGCTGGTGGCCTCACTCTTCTGCCACCGCCTCTGGCCCAAATGTTCCAAGTCCTAGAGCTGGCCCTGCCCAGCTAGAGAGGCTAACTGAAGGAAGGGCCCTCAGAGCCCAGAGACCCGGGGCCCAGCCCTGACCCTGCCATCCAGCCCCCGAGTTCCCAGGTCCTGTGTCACTCTGCCAGTTCTCTGCCTCACAGTCCCACACTCTCGCCTGGCTGTTTGTTACTGCAGACTTCTATCTGTCCCTTGCTCACATCCGGTCTGCTTCCTGCCCACTGCTACCACCCTGGCCTGTGACTGGGGAACTCACCACTTGTTTGGTCAGGAATGTGGCCTCTAGCCGCTGGATCTCTTTGGCGGGCAGGAGGCTCCCCAGTTCGATGCCCTGCAGCTCATGGGCTAGTTTGGGGCTTTTGATGACATCACTATGGGTAAAAAGATGCTACATAAAGAACATTATCTTCAGACACCATTCCTTAACTTGAATTTGACCCCGACCCTGACCCACCTTCCCCAGCAGCCAAGTCTGACTTCAGCCAAACCTGAGAGCGTCCTCACCCCCCATTCTTCACCGTTCTTCCCCCAAATGTCTCCTGAAATCTATCACCCCAGGTCCCCAGATCCCACCAGGCTCCTCTCAGGTCTCCCTGCCCCAGCTCTAATCTGAAGTAATCTCTCCTCTACTTGTTGGCCAGAGTCCCCTTTCGGGGGGATCTGCTCCCTACACCTCTCCCCTATAGATAAAGCCCAGGGTCTCTGAGACAAGGCTCCGCTCCGCCCAACCCCCACCATCCCAGCACTCTGCTTTCCCAGCCCAGGGTGTGGTCAGACTGGGAAGAACAGCTCACTTTCATGGTCTCTGCGTGGCCCCAGAGTTTCTGGCGACCTCTCCAGCCTGGCATTGCCTCCAGGCGCTGGATCTGTCCAGAGGCTTCAGAATGTCCTCTCTGGTCCCCTAGCCACAGCCATGATGACCCTCTGCTCCTCACATCCTGGCCACGCTGGACTTGACTATGATTTTGGGACACCGCCTCCCTGCCTCCACCTCCAGAGATCTGTGCTAAACTCAGAATCCTCAAATATGGCTGACCTGGGTACAACTAGACTTCCTCCATCCCAATTCCACACTTCAGGCTGGGCCCTGCAGGAAGCACTGGCCCCCTAGGCCTGGCCATCTCTAAGGAATTCAAGTCTGTCCCTGGCCCCCCCATGGACCCGTGAGAAGGGCAGGCATCTCCTCTGAGATCGAGATGCTAGGGACAGGAGTCAGGTGGACCTAACCTAGATGGGATCCCGGAGCCTCTGCCTGAGCAGCTGCAGCTGCAAGGGCTCCTGGGACCACCCTGTACTGCAGGGGCCAGGCCAACAGACCACCTGCCCTGCCCTCCTGCTGTTTCCCCTTCCTGGGAGTTCCCCATGGAGAAGCCCTGCTCAGCTCCCAGAATGACCCCAGCTCAGCCTCAGACATTCCTCCAGCTTCCTTTGTGCCTGCCCTCTCATTTCCTGCTTGGCTTCTCTCACCCATAAGACTGTGCATTCCCTACTTCCCAGATAAGGCAGGTTCTGTCTAGTGGCAATCCTCCTCCTCCAGGCTGCCTTCCAAGACTGCCTAGCCTGTGTCATGGCCTCAACTTTGGATTCCCTCAGTCCCTGATCTCCTCTGTATTTTTCACCCTTCTTGGGGTTGGGAGCACGATAAGTGCAAACTGAATGACTGATGAGGTCCCTGCCGTGTTCCGTGCCTCAGTCTCCCCAGCTCAGAACGTGAGTAACACCTTTCTGAAGGATCTTAAGAATTTCAAGGGCAAAGCTCACTTGTCCCAGATCTTGTCCCTCACTGAGTTCCCACTGGGACGCTACCAGGCAAGGCAAGGTCCCACTACTGTGCTCCCCAGAGTCATCACCCACAGACTTCTCTGCGTGCTCCCTGAGGCCTGGATGCCACGAGGATGCTGTGAGATACCCAGAGCCCAGGCCCCCTGGATTATACCCAGCCGAGTCCAAGCCCCGCCCTTTGTTCTTAGACCAGGACCCTCGGACTCACAGACCCCTTCCTGCAGCCTAGCCACTGCTCCAAAGCTAGGTCAAGCTTGAACCACATCCAGCACATGCTGACCCTACTCGTGCATTTGGGGAAAGACCTCTGTGCCAGTTCCCGCAGCCTGGACACCCTGTGGCCCCTGCTGTCTTGCTCACTTGGGGTAGAGGTTCTGCACCCAGACCAGCAGCATGTAGGTGTCCCGCTTGTCCAGCTGGCGCGTCGCCATGGCGGCCATGTGGGCGGCGAAGTGCTGGTGGTAGCTCTCGGCGTAGGCCGCCACCACGTGGAACTCGGCGGGGAAGAGCGGCTTGAGGCGCTGCACCACGGCCTCCAGGTCCTCCTTCATGGTGCGGCCCATGTGCAGGAAGGTGCGCTCGGCCTCCGAGC